ACAAATAAGTCACCCTGTATATTCGAATTCAATTTTGTCTTTTGATATATGAATTTTTCTGTAAAACCTATCAGCTTTAATTCCTGGTCTACGACTACAATTATAGCAAACTGTCATATTAACAAAGATCATAAGATCATAGTGCTAAACAATACCGTTTCCAGGGGGTGGTTGAAAATGGGATCGCTGGAGGTCCATTTTTTTTTATAACCTCAGCTTAGACCCATTACATCATGTGCTAAATTTCGTGTTGATTGGTCCAGAGGTATGGACGCTTAAAGCTAACAACAAACAAACATTCCTTTTTATCATCATATTATATACACTATATAGGGCTTTCATTAATGATTGGCCCCATGTGATTGTAGGTGCTTAGGCAACTAAAAATGCACAGGTAGCAACCCTACTACAGTGCATTCCCACAATTATTAGAAGAGTGAATCAAACTTCAAATAATTTATTGTTTTTTCAAATATTGCAAAATGATGACCATTCATTTTCGGGCCCAAATCGTCATGTAAATTTCCATTGACGGTTTTATAAAATAAAGTGGATCCAACTATCATTCAGATGGCATAGCTACGACTACCCGAATCCCACCCTCTGGATATATGGCACGGTGGCACCATCTTATTGTTAAAACAACTTCATCTACTGATTTCTCATTAAATTTTTTACTGTTTATTCCTAGCCTATATGTAACATTTAAAATAAACATTAACGTTTTTGGTGCGATCAACTAGCGCAATTGTTATGTAGGTGCAATCATTGACAAAAGTAATGATCGCCGAATAGGTAAATCCTGCAGCACACGCAACCAATATTTGAATATATATTGTGCAACTTAGAAATGCGATTGTTATTTCCTCTTTGAAGAAATCGACGGAGCCCGATGTGATGTGATGCGATGTTGGTTACTTATGCAGCAGTTTACCGGTTAGGCGATCATTACTTTTGTCAATGACCGTACCTACCTACTTTACGTTGCATACAGTATGTGCCAATGTCAAAGGAATGTATAAAAAAATAAATATTTAAGGAATGATTGTAACGTTTATTTATCTTATTCATAGGAATGTAGTGTTATTCTTATAAGGCGATTTATTAGATTTAAAATTCTTAATATATTTTATACCATAAAGGAAATAGAATCTGAAAAATTCTAACCCGTTACAAATCTACTGATGACAATATTTCCACATGTCTATACAATGATAAATAGTTGCTACAAAAACAGACCACATGCCGAGAAATCAATCAAAATAAATTAATAAACGATAAAACTCGGCGATTGACTGTGATACCATTGAATAGTGATACGGATAAATAATATTGAACCGAATACCGATTCTATAAAAACTAGTTTGCTCACAACATTCGCTTCAATTATTTCATACTGATACTCCAACGGCATACATATTGCAGAAAATTTCGCTGTTATCATAAATCAAATGTGCGATATTTATAAATAATTAAACGTCCGACGACAATTACACAGGAACGTCGTTACATCTTACGAGCGAGGTTCCTTAATTTTCAGTAGCAGTTGTATTGCCTTTTATTTATAAAATATTGTTTCACTTCCGCTGTTGCTAAAGATAAGTATGTCAGATAGCCGATGTAAATGTTTAATACTTGCATTCAGGCAAAAATAATTAAAAATTAGCATGTAAAATGCAAGATATGAAATGCTACTATATTATAAGAGTTGCACGAAATCGCAAATCTAAGTAAGATCTCCAATTATGGAGAAACATATGTCATTACAGATGGCACGATTACACGTTCCGTCGTTTAATGTACATTAAATTACGTTTTGCACATTTTTGCAGCCGATGCATTCAACATCAATCACTCTCACGTTGAGTGGTCGACGTAAAATTAGCCCAATTTTTTCTGCATTGTTTCCAATTTAATTTGAATAGCGTTTTTTTAGGACAAATGCCCTTCCGTAAACATCTTATTTTTTCTTAGTACCTAACCGCAGCAATGCAAATGACTAGTTAGCATATGCTTCCGAAAGGATTCAATTACAAGGGTTGATCATGAAGACATAAAATTAAACGAAGCGTGCAGAATGAGCATGCAAGTAAATTTAATGAATGGTACTTAACATCTATAAGAGGATGCATGGAGGGCCAGAAATTGACCGTCTGATCCGGATAGCATCTGTTACACCCCAAAGGTATGGATCTGAAATTCTTTGTTTTTCATGTAATGCTTTAATTTTGGTTTGTAATGTGTTGTAACTGGTAGGAAAATTGCTTTACTTGGGGTTTTGTACATAATTTGACCGGGTGCACATACGGGGTGCCCGTTATGTATGGAATAATCAGTAGTATATATTTCGGTAAATATGGTCTGTATACAAAATTTTTCTATATAAAAGTTGTTTCCCATAATAAGGCATTATTCAGTTGTTTTTATTTCAGAAAACAAATGAATAACGAAAAAGAATTGAATTTTTTAAAATAGCAATGCACACTTTTATTAGGCTCATTTGATAGAGATTTTTTTCTCTTTTCAATGGCGTGGCACGTTCGCACCCGTGTAGAAAAAATTCATTTTTATTTCAAGCTTTGTGTGATAGGTTATGCCACTGCCTTGCAGTTAATGGTGAACATTTTGAACATTCATTTGCGATGAAAACTATTTTACTGCTAATTTCGTTTTGTCTTCAATGTGTAATAAGAAATGTGCACGTTTATTTGTTTTATTTTGATGTAGGATATCTGGATTAAATAGTGATATTGATCTACTTAATTAAAATAATTTTTTTTGAAAAATAAGGGTGTTAACATGTTATAGGTATCATCGAAAAGAGAAAAAAATCTATCAAATCGGCCTAATGAAAAGGTACACTGCCATTTAAAAAAGTTCAATTGTTTTTCGTTACTCATTTGTTTTCTCAAATAAAATCAACTGAATGTGAACGATATTTACCGAGATATATACTATATTCCATACATAATGGGCATTATTAACTCTTTGTTAAAAAATAACGCTTGGAACATTGAGATGGGCACAAATGCTATTTTAAACCTCAAAAATTCAGTAGGTAATCAGGAAGACAAGTTGGCTTCAAATAAATCATAGCAATGCAATGGCAATGCATTATGTTCCTGTAAGTATCATATTCAGTTATACAGTCACAAAACATTTCATTGATGCCTAATTACATTTTACTTCTTACCACCCCCAAAAAAAGGCAATATTTTTCAATGGCCATTCTGCTCCAGCTATACGTCCTTTTTTAGTTCGATTCCAAACTAGCAGATGTAGGTACCACATAAGAATATGCAATCTAAAGGAAAAATTAGGATTTTAAGGAAAAATCACTGACTTGTCCTCAAATTTATAACATATTGATTTATGACACAGAAGTGACAATCACTAATGACTTCGGCGTCAATGTTGGAACTCAAATTAAGCACGATTCAATTTGCTTATATATCAAACAAAAAGTTCTAGAACATTCTCGAATAAACCTGGAAATCTCTTTATTTTTTTACCTCCGGTAACTAATCTTTTATTGATTTGATGGTGACATGATGGCGCCCCAATGTCACTACGCGCTACAAAATGTTAAGAAAAAAAGATGCATAACAGTCACAACTTTACAACACAGAAAAAAAACTTTTTGTTAGGGAACCCGTTAGAAAGGCGTAGCCGAAAAGTCTCGTTACATACCACTTTTATTGCAGACACTTACAGACGGTCACGCCTGCGGCATCTTGCACGAGTAAAGCCACCCTGACGATACATAATTAAAAGTGCCAAAGCAATTACATTTTAAATGATACTGGCTATCCTCAGTTAGAATTTCGGTTCATAAATGGTCGAGATGCCAAAAGGACACTGTGAATGTTGACTCGATTAGCATAGCTTATATGAGGAATGGATTGTAAAACTGTTGCAGATAAATTCTTATTTTATGTTTACTATCATTTAGGCTCTTTATTATATTTTTCACGCTACGTTAAGGGCCGTATTTTACTTTTTCGAGGAACATGTAGCCGATAGGTGGTACATATAATTGTATACATACCTGCTTACTATACAAATGATGCTTGCAGAATTATTTTACTTAACTTCTAAAATTTGCGGTTCCCCTTTAATTTTTTTGTAGCAACCATGACACACAGGAATATACCTAGACTAGAACCACACTGTAAAATTGTTATGATAGAACTTATGGCGTTACCCATGTTTTTGGGTATGCCTCTTCTGTTTTTGTGAATATATTTCCTAGATATCCTACCCCAAGCTGGAGCACCCTTCAACAAGTGCAAAAAAACTGGTTTTAACAAAATTTGGGAACTGTTGGTACTACTTCAATCCCAAAATTTGTATTTGAAAAAAAAATGTAACTGCAATTCTTGATCAGGCTACAAAAATGGTCATGATTTTATTAAATTCGTTGGGCACGCTCCTTATGTATTAAGAACAAAACTGTCTTTATTTGCGCGACTTTTCAAAGTAAAAGGGCCAAAGGTTATATTTCATTGGTATAATATGTATCTCTAGATCTAGCAGTTAATTAATATTTTTCTTGTGGCATGTGTTAGGCTGAATATAATTTACTTATAGCGGCAAATTGGAAAAAAAATTTCCAAATTATTACAAACTAGGAATTTCGGAAACAATTTTACAAAATAGAAAAAGGCCCACCTAAAGGTAAAACCGGTAAAAGTTCCATCCTTGATAAATGATGGTTCCTGAAAAAAACACAAACTTTGGGACTTTTGGAGGCATACCTCTTAAAGAAACGTTTTGGTTCCAGTTTGATTCTCGTTTATCTATTTAGAAAAATTGTTTTGGTCGCGTAACACAACATTTTTTTATTTAACGGCTGATTAAACCTGCGGATCCATTATTTCATACTTTTGGAGCACCTCACCTTGTTATTTCCATGTGAAGGTGTGTAGTTCTAATACTCAGTAGCTCTAGTGACATATAGTATTCGTTTGAACTACTCTAGCTATCCATTGTAACTACTTTTTTGCGTGTTCGTTGTATTATTTTAGGTTAAAAATTATATTAAAAGATAAAATGAATTTACTTCCAAAAAGTCATCAAGAATTTGGCCAAAAAGACTACTGGGAATCTTTCTTTAAAAAAAGAGGCGGAAAAGCATTTGAATGGTATGTTCTTTCTTTTTTTGTACTCCCTTAGAAAAATAATTTTTAGGTATGGTGAATACCCTGAATTGTGTGGACATTTACATAAGTACATCAAAACTAAGGACAACATTTTAGTTGTGGGCTGTGGTAACTCATCGTTAAGTAGTGATCTATACGATATCGGCTACTTGTAAGTGGATGCATGGCATACGCCAACAGTTAAACTGCTTTCTCCAGAACGATAACGAATATAGACATATCGCAAGTTGTGATCCGTCAAATGAAGAATTTACATGAAAAAACTAGGCCGAGTTTGAATTACATACAAATGGACGTTTTCAGCATGAAATTTGACGATGGATCTTTCACAGTTATTGTAGATAAAGGAACGCTGGATGCTTTGATGCCGGACGACAAACCAATCACAAAAGAAAGGATTTGCAAATATTTTACAGAAATTGAGAGAGTACTAAAATTTGGAGGCCGTTACATTTGCATATCGTTGCTACAGAAACATATTTTAGATATAATCCTAGCGTACTTCCCTTCCCATAACTGGATGTTTAGAGTTGTTCGATGCTACGAAGCCGAGAAAAAAAGTGACAGTGCCGACAGTTCACTGCCAGTATTTATGGTCATATGTACCAAATTTAAAGTTCTACCTCAACTGGTTAGGTGATATTTGTAGTGAGCTTGAAAGGTATTTAAGGACGATCTAGATTTTAGAAGCAAACATGGGAATAGAAGACAAAATGATACGTTTCGAAAGCTCTGAGGGTGTTATGTCGCTTATTGATGGTGTCCAGCAAAGCGCGTTCATTTGCTCGGGGTTACGAAGGAGTAATATAGCTGACCAAGAAGATGTATCGTTTGATCTCCATAATCCGAATGATAATGCCCCCAGGTTTACGTTGCATGTTGTCGACATACCCCATGATCACAAACATTCGTCTTATGCCGCATTTATCGTACCCCAAGGAAGGTTTGTACACTCTCTTTCAGAATTAATGCACTGGAATAGCAAAAGTGCAGCATAGGCAACCAACATAACAGTACCTCTACCAAAGAAAATTTGGCAGGATGATCTGGTATATTACAACACAAAATCAGTCTATGCTACTGTTTTGCTATCCGAATTCTGCAAAACTTTGCATTTGACTTTTTAATTTTCTAACTTGAGGTAAAATTCTTTAGGGAAGTTGAATGGATGTTTTCTACAAGCAAAGGCAGGAAACACCTGACGAAGATGACCAAGTATAACCGTTTGGCTATCATTACAATGCATAGAGGACAAATTTATAATAGTTTAGAAACAGTTCAGAATGAGTTACAGGATGCTGTATGCCAGGTTGCTCCGTCAGGATTTAAAGGAAAGGTAAATCCCTTAATCTTACCGTGTATCAGTCACTAATACGATTAGCAGATTTTATTCTTGTCTCTTGGATCGGATGTTGGAAAACGAACAGTTTTAACAGAGGGGCATTCTGAAATATCAGGCGGATATATAGTTGAAGATGTGGAAATTAGTCCAAAGGATAGGTTTCGAAGATTGATTTATCTGAGTAATCAGTTTGTGGTCCAGTCGGAAGCAAAACTTAAAATGGGTATGTTGCTTTTGTTTTTAAGTCATAAAAAGAATACCACCTCACTCTAGAAAGTTCCAGCTAGGTGAACTTTCACTGATTACGAACTCGACCTCAGACTCCTCTTATACCCATTTAAATAATTTTTTTTTCAGTTAAATGCAGAAATGGCGAAATAAAAGAGTTTAAAGATCATTTATACCTAACATGTAAACATCACATATACATGAGTATTGCCGCTCAAATCGCCATCTTGAAATTCACTTCACCTTCGCTTGCTCTTATTGGACTAGGTGGTGGAGGATTGTGCATGTTTCTCAGAAAATTTCTACCGCTACTTGATATTATAGCAATTGACATCGATAATGCAATGTTAGAGATTGCTAAGAAATGGTTTGGTTTTAAACAAGATAGTAAATTACACGTTAGTATATTGGACGGAGTAGATTTTATACGGCAGTCTGCTGAAAAAGGTACTACGAACTTTTACAATATTAGATGCATATACTTTACATTTCAGGAAAGAAATATAATGCCATTCTGTTTGATGTTGATAGCAAAGATAGTTCAATTGGAATGAGCTGCCCTCCGAAGCAGTTTTTGGATCCCTTATTATTAGAGGATGCCTCGAAATGTTTGTCTGAGAAGGGTAAACTGTCATTGAAGTTAAAGTAGAAACCTAATACTCTTTTTCAGGTCTTCTCATAATAAATGTTGTAATTAGAGATGAATCTTTACGCTCTCCAATAGTAAACGATCTGAAGAATAAATTTGTTTCAATTGTTACTTACAAATTAGAAGAAGATTTGAATGAAATTATTATTTGTTCACGTGAAAAGTATGAGAAGAGTAATTTAAGTTCACTTGCGAAGGTAGCAAGTGAGAAATTTGATGATTTTCTTACGAAGAATAAGGTGGAAAATCGAGATGTGGATGATATTAAACACTTTTTAGATAACTTACAGATTACTTAATAATAAATAATAGTTTGTAAATTTTGTCTTATTGTATCTCTTTGGTGGAGCGCCATAAAGTTGTAATGCTTGGTAATTTTTCTTGGGTAGGAGGGTACAGTTTTCGATTTCGGCTGGATAGTTATGGTAAAATCTGCAAAGGTCCTGTACTAATTACAGTTATAGTATAGTAACATAATTCTTCAGGAGCTTATCTAGTATTTGTAATTGATGAACAAACAAATAACAAAATCACTGCAGTCATCTCTTACTACACCCAGTAGTGGTAGGTTATTCTTTCACACCCCTAAAGGAGTAATTCCGAACAATAAAAACACATCTAAAGGTGGGAATAGACAAAGCAAACATTGTTGTGCAACAGTTGAACAACAGTCGAAAAACACACAAGTTTACGCAGTGAGTACGTGTTGCACAACAGTTGTGCAGCTGTTGCTGAACTGCTGCCCGGTGTTCGCTCACGAGGCGGTACTTCAAAGGAAATGTTGCCGTACAGTGTGCACAGGATCTTCAGTGTAGACGCGTATACGGGTCAACTTACTGAACGAACACTAGACAAACACCGGAGAAAGCAGGCTGGTCGATGTTGACCAACAGTTTGTCGACAATAATAATAATAATAATAAGCTATTTATTTGTACATAAAAAACCAAAATATTTTTCACTTTAAACTTAAAAATTATTATACTACAAATAAATGTATAAAATCTACGGAGTTTCATTCACACAAACATGGGTACATTGGACATTAAAAAGAAAAGAGAAAAAAAAAATATATCAACACTGAATTCATACCTGCAGCACATATCTAAGTTTAAAAAATTGTCAGGTGCAAGGTGAATAACTTGATAATAGAATTTAAAAAAAAAGAAAAAGAAAATTTAAAAAAAAATAAGAATGAAAATAAAAATAAGCTAAAAATAAAAATAAATAAGATAAAGGGAAAGATGATAAGTAACAAAGGACTAATAGTTAAATTAAATTTGAACTAAAAGAATGTTTCGAACCTCTTGTCTACTCATTGAAGCACAAATTTTTTTTACATTTTTCAAAAATGATTTATTCGATAGAATAAAAAACGAGGAGATATTGTACTTTAGTTGAAAATGGTTATAGACCTTGATTACATGAAAAGTGAAGTTTTTTTGTGCAAATTGTTTGTTAACTGTTTTATTGTAAGATAAACTATATGTTTTCTCCCCATGGAAACAAGTTAGCCAACAGTTGCCTACCTGTTATTCAACTGTTGCACAACAATGTTTGCTTGGTCTATTCCCACCTTAACCTAAAGAGAAAAACAAAATTTAATCGTGAACAATTTAGCTAACTATAAAGTAGTAATACACAGAACATAGGTGGGTATACTATTATTTATTCGTATGCTGTTACCGAAATTGGGGAAACTTATCTACTGTAGAGGCTGATTCAAATTCGAGGGTCACCATGGGGATCTCGGGAGCTATAAGAGATAGGTATGTAGTTGAAATATGGCAAAGTTGCGTATTTTGATGCTTAACAAAATGCACTTTTGAAACTGAAACTACTTTCGGAGATTCCAGAAAAAACCGACATTTTGCAAAATCGTTTTTATTTTTTACTGAAGATATTTTGAAATAATTAACACATTATTATGGCCATTTTTTTTCCTATACAAGATGCTAGGTTTAAATTGTAAGTTTGACGTTTCGTCTCCAGTCACTTTGCTGTTAGCGCTATTGCAGCCACTTTCTCTGTCCGTCCGCCTGTTCGAGGCCTTAACTACTACAGTTTTCAAGATATTAATTTGGTTCTTTTTTCCATTTGGTAGCGTATAGCTCTAGCACCTGAGCCAAGGAAAATCTTGACAATTAAACTGCGCATGTGCAGACTGCGCAATGTCAACTACCTTATTTATTAATATACTTTGTTGAAATTTTAACTTCTGGTGAAGGTAAATATTTCGCATATAGTAAAATTCAGATGCGCGCATGCTCAGACTGCGCAATGGCAATCTTCTTATTTATGGAGATGTTTCTTTGAAATTTTAACCAAAGTTGCTTTTAGTGTAAGCAAACGTATCGCATATTGTAAACATCAAATTAATGCGCAGGATGCGCAATATCAACTGTTATTTATCGAAATATCTTTTTGAAAATTTTTATCATAGATGCTTATGTTAAAGGCAAACATAAGTGATATTGCAAAAATTAGATGTGCGCATGCGCAGTCAGTGCCAACTTCTTTATCAAGATATTTCTTTGAAATTTTAACCATAAATGCTTCTAGTAAAGAAAAACATATCACATGTACTAAAAATCGAAAACTACAAATGTCATTAGGAAAAGTAAACATATCGCACATAGTAAAAATCAAATCCACGCATGGGCCAACTTTTTTATTTGAAAATCTCTCTAAAGTTTAACCATAAACGCTTCTATTAAAAACAAACATCGCATATAATACCTAAAGCATAAATTAAATGTGCTCGCTCATGCGCGAACTGCACAACGCCAATTTTTTTGTTTATGGCGATAGGCGGTCCGCTCGCGAGCAGTTTTCGGAGCGGCCGCTTGGTGTTCAGCGATCGAGCGCTTTTTTTTCTGCCCACGAGCGGCTTTTCCGCTCGCAAGCAAGCTCTTTTTCCGCTCTCGAGCGTTTTTTTTCGCTTGTGAGCGCTTTTAACCGCCCTCAAGCGCTGAAGGATTAAGCGCCGCTCGCGAGGGTTTCCGCTCCAGCACTTTTAGGAGTGGTTTCGCTTTGAAAAACAACTCGATGCTCGCAAGCATTTTTGAGACAATTAGAGCGCTCGTCGCTCGAGTGGTTTTTTAGAACGCTTGACCCAGCTCTAGCCTCTAATAAAGAAAATCGCAACGATAGCTATGGCTTTTGGGAAGTACTGATCATTCATGGAAAATGCGCTGAAGTTACTCGTCTTAGGGCGCAAACCTTTTTACTTGTTTCTTATGGAAGTAATTTTTCTTTTTGTGTTATTTGAAGGAGACTTTTTTTTATTACAAAAATGTAAACATCACTATCTTTTAATATGAAATAAGAGTTATTAATTCGTAAAAAGCAAAAAACTACATACATACACTACCAAACACAAAGTTTTTAGGCAAAAAAGAAGATATATTTTAACAATATTACGTTTCATTTCCGGTTGACCATCTACAACTTTGATTTTTCACATGGAAGTAATTTTTACTTTTTGTGTCATTTGATAGCGAATTTTTTTCAGAATTCAAAAATGTAAACATCACAGTTCTTTTAATATTGTTAAAATATCTTCTTTTTGCCTAGAAAACTTTGTGTTGGGTAGTGTATGTACGTAGATAAGTATAAGATAGGTAGCCACCACCTTTCGACACTAACCGTTATTCATATTTTGATAAGAAGTTACAGAAGAGATCATTGCGCTAATCCCAAAAGCTTGCTTTAGTTTGCAATCTATAGATTAAGAGGTTTTATTAAAAAAATATAAATAAACAATATTTGTAACAATTTATTTCTTTTAGTATATGGCATTCTTTGACTTTATTTAACTTAAGTGTATAAAATTATTTTTCCTAAAACACCATACTTTGCAAACATATATAAAATTTTAATATTAAATAAATTCATCACAGCGCATATACAGGAATTTGTAATAGAACACACAATTTATTAAGAAGTATTCATCGATACCTAAACTTCAAATGTGCATAATTAAAATACGTAGATAATAAATAGAATAAATGCACACATGAAATTATGTACTCCGTCGTTTGCAGCCTTCAACTTAATTGCTCACCTAAGTCATCTTACGGTTAAAAACAAATGTGATATACATCGACTATAATTTTGTGACTACCAAAAAGCTACAAACAGTTACTTAAATGTCAACGACTTAAATAATCGTTTCAAAGCATTCTTCTTTTCCTTTTTCGGCAATTCGATAATTTTCAATTCATCAACATTATTACTTACGCTACTAGAATCTGTAAGCCTTTCATCCGGTGATGAGTTTAGCCTCAAATTTTCATCAAAACTCGCCGACTTCTTATGGCCATCGTACAGTTTTACAATACTGGGATTTTGTAGAGATCGTTTTGCTCTACAGTCAGCAGCCGTGGTAATAAATGTCGCCGATTGAATATTTCCATTTGTCTTCACATGATCGAAGGTATCAATTTTCGGCGGCTCTTTAATGTAAGTTAATTGCTCTAAGCTTGTGTGTTCGCTCTCGTCCAATACGAAAGGTAGTTCTTCGATTTTATTATTTTTTATACTATTGTCGGACCAATCCATCGTAATACTGGGAGGTGCGGAATCCTGTCGCCTCCAGATTTGTGTTGAGTTCGAAATGGGTATAAATTTACAGCCATTCGCATCCTCCACGGCCTTATCCGGCACCTCTTCGTCAAGAGTTGTTATAGAATTGGAACGTTGTAAACTACGCTTTTTTCGTTTTCTACCTTTCAATTTTAACCCACCGTCCAATTCATCAACAACTAAATCGGTGTACGCGCCGTAATGTAGTAAAGCTTCCTCACTGGGTCTTCTCTTCTTTACTGGAGTCTTATTTGTGATAGCATCAACAGACATGCGCCGCCAAACCTGATTGTTTGTCGAACGTGCATCGCCAACGGGTTGATTAAATTCCTGGTTTCTCCGACAAAATAACAAAAATCCTACGATAACGACGCCACTTAAAAATAACCAATACGTCGTGTTCATCCAGGCCTTTTTATCTTCAATTAATAAATCTATCGATTCCCTTAACATGACAATTTGGTCTTCTAAATGCTGTGTTCTCTCCTCCTTCTTCTTGTTTTCTTCATTTAGGGTGTTGATCGTTTTATCTAATAATCGCTGCATTTCTTCCACTTGCTTTTTATATCGCCTGCTTAATTCTTCCAAATACTGACTCGATAATGACATGTTACGTTCCAGTGCCTAGAAAATACAATGCATCAGTACATGCTGCTATCAAATTAACACTCCATGAACCTCATTGTGGTAACGTGAGAATTGCCATTGCAAGAGATCATCAACCTTCAAATGCTAATAGAAGAATGGTTCATTGAGGTTTATCTATGTGCGGGATAAATTGAGTGGAAGAAAGTAAATGTCAAAAAGTGGAACGAGTTATAAAGGCCGCCCAATAAACTTCACAGCAAACACTTAAACCAGTTAGCAGTGGTGAAAGAAAGGAAACGAGATGCAAAAATTTGAAGGCAATATTTTATGTATTCAAGATCAAGATTAATGAGGTCTTTGTAAGTGTGTTCATTTCACTTGCTCTTTCTATTTGAAATGAAATGTTAGGCAGTTAAGAAGGTTATTGACGTTAATTATACAATACTTTAATAAACAATAACTCCAGTAGGCATTGAGACACTGAAATTGGTAAAAAAATATTTTCCTTTAATGCTGTGGGTTACTTATGTACAATGCTGTATCAAATTTTATTGCTATCCATATAGGTATGTTTTATGGCGTTAAATGCACCCACACGGATAATAGCGATAGGCCTAACAGCTACTGATCCCACTTTAGAAAGCAAATTTTTATAATAGTAAACTGCTTTCATTCAAACTTTAAATTAACTTCTTATATGACAACCCTTATTTAAAAACCGCTAAAACGCTAAGACATTAACATCTAGGAGCAACTCCCAGCTAAAGGGAACTGTATCATAAGAAAGAAATGTAAAATTACAAAGGAACTGTAGAGGCTGACTTTAATGTGCTTAGACAATGTTAGGATATGTAATGGCTATTTACATAACACACAAGTAATCTCGCCTTGTTGCCGTAATTAGAATGTCTAAGGTATAATATAGTTATTTACATAAAAGTCAGGAAAATGACATTACTGACGAGGAAATATCGAAGTGCGAGGCCCCTTTGGGGCTGAGTACTTTAATTTCCGACTCAAGTAATGTCATTTTATTGGCAAGTTTTGTATTAAGTTTTACCCAAAATCGTATTTTAATATCAAATTTCCATTTTCATATGGAACATTTGATTTATGCCAATCTGTCAATGACGACAGGAGTCATTAGAGACATTTAGCAATGTGACAAGTGCGGCAGGAAAAGTGACAGGTGCGGGCGGTAAAGTGGGAGGTGCGGCCTTAGACCATATAGTACATGGACTGCTAATTGTAACTACAATATGGTCAAGGACATCGCCTGGGTATGTGAGTTTCAGGGTAAACGAGTCTGTCCGAAGTTGTCCGATGAGACACGATTTGAGACTGTCAACCTATAAATTAACAAACGTCAATTAATTAATCGCCTAGATATCCCAAAAAAACAAACTTATTCTTATTTGTGGACGTATAGCAAATAATGAAGAGCATTTAAAGCTTCCCGTACTACGCGGTTACTATAATGCTGCTCTTTAAGCGATCCTAGTGGTGTTTACACGACTTTAGTTTACCCTGAGATTCACATACCCACGACTACAGTGCCCTCTATCCGTGACCATCCATTTTGTATTGAAAGCATAGGGCGAATAGCAGTCCATGTACTATATGGTCTAAGGGTGCGGCCGGTAATTTGACAGGCGGCAGGAAAAGTAGTCTGGTCTGCTGGCGTCATGGAAACTAACATTTTCCTGGCATAAAGCAGGCAGGAAAATAAAGGTTTCATGACCATTTTGGGTAATAGTTATTTACAGAAAAGTCAAGAAAATGACATTACTGGCGAAGAAATATCGAAGTGCAAGGCCCTTACTTACTTACTTACCATAAGAAATCAGTAATGGGCGGTCTACTGCCATTATAAGAAAAAAGGGCGTATCTTATTTTTTAGTGCAACTCATGAAAGTAAAGCGCATACTTTTCCATCCGTCGTTCCGCACTATTGCTCACTCCCTAGACCTCATATGGTTTTCGCTATATGAAAGCTTACTATCAAAAATTAATTTTTGCATCTATCTCGTTGTTTGCCACAATAGTTATTTATGCATCAATTTTGTTGGGAAAAAGACTAAACTCTATTCCTTGATGCTCAAGAAGTGATCTATATGCATTTTTGGTGCCCAAAATACTTTTAGCCAAAATATGTCAAAATCGTTATTTATAAATCAATTTTTGTTGGGAAAAAGACCAAATGGGATTGCTCCGATACCCAAGAAGTGATCCATCTGTATTTTTAGCCAAAATGTTTTACCCAAAGATGTCAAAATCGTTTCTATGCATCAATTTTCTTGGAAAAAGACCAAACTCGATTCCCAAGAAGTGATCCATGGTGAAACAAATATTTTTACCCAAAAAATGTCAAAATCGTTATTTATGTAAACATACTTTTTGTTTAGCATTTCCATTGATAAAGCGCTTTGTAAAAAAATAGTTGGAAAAACTCTCGGGAAAAACCACAAAAACATTCTTTGATATCTTTTAAATTATCTACAACAGAAATTTAGATCATTAAGGGTCACTGATAAAAGATTCCCAAATTGTAATTGAGCAATTACAAATACATACCCCAGCGAAGACCATAATTTTCGAAATGCCTATGTAATCTTGGACTTAAAAACAAGCGTTTTCACCCTTAAGAACTTTAGAAAATGCTTAAAATTACGATATGAACAAAGACGCTGTGTTAACAACATCTATCATTTAAAATCCTCTTAAAAAGTGTTCTAATAATCAAATAGTCAAAACGCCTAATACAAAATTACAAGACGTCAAGATATTTAGGCTGAAGGGCGTGTGACAGGGCAGTGTGGTTGACTGGAGAGTCAACCGTGACAGGAACTCCCTCTAAGGCATCCCTCACAACTCATTGTATTAAAAGACAGCTCCTTATGCTGGGCTCTACAGAAATGGACTTTCCCTTCCCCGGGTCAAAAAGAAGTAAGGTGGGGAATGGCACCCAAAAAAATCATCTCAAAAGAGACGCCTAAGCGATACCAACCGCAGGTTAAAAAATTATCACAGTCCTCGTGTGAGATCGAAGGGGCTTCAGGGCATTTTTGGGTGGCAGATCAGTTTTGACTCCACCATCATTAAGATCTTGTCCCTCCACAAAATAGACTCAATTGTCGAGGCATTTCTCATAGCTTGAATTTCTACTGGCGACACGAGAAAGAGAGACCGCGATTCGGTTCTAAGAAACTTTTAGGACGCTCAAAGCCGACTACCATTCGAAGACGCGCGCCTTGCAAAAAGTGGTTAATTTCGTCCCTAGAAAAAAAAAACAAAATACCGTCACGCAGGAGTTGTGCGCGTTTACAAAATCTTTTGGACGACACAAATTTTATAACAATCGCACCAAAACTGTAGAAGAAAAAAACTGAAAAATCACCACGTTATAACACGCTCAGGGATGGCGCCCAGATGTCGCCGACCCTAAAGATATTAATTACACGAACCCCGGGTGGGCCTGCATTTGCTGCCTGCCAGCGAGCCAGCCGGCCGGCCAAAGTGAGGTTAGCTACCTTTTTACAAATAAATTTGCAAAAATGCGGTAAGAAGCGACCAGAAAAGTCTGAGCCCATACAGGAAGCAAAGTCAAGTGTTTCAGCAATGCGGCTGCTACAAGCTTCTGGGTGGCGTTATCCATCAAAACTTGGAGGTTATGCTCACCAATGAGGAGGTACTGCGTCCTCAAGGGGATTGATGAACTCAAAGGTAGTGGTTTCATCACGTTTCACTGGCTCCTGGCACAGGGGAGGGGTGTTGCATATCACCTGATTCGACCAGGTTACAGTAGAATTGTTGGGTCGGCTCCTTGGGTTTCGATTTCTCAAAGTTAAAGATCTTTCCAAACCTGTAATGATAATATGGTTTGGGTTTCAGGACCCATAGAAGAATCGGAAAGATAGTCAAGCACCTGGGTAAGCAAAACTTATGTGTTACCGCTGGAGAGTGGAGAGTAGTGAACTGGAAGGATGACACTGTACGGCTACAGTTGTGCTTGTGGACCACACTTTCTAGGAGGAGGCTACCAATGGCGAGAAAATGGAAGTGGTGCAACTAGCAGGCAGGTGAGCTGTGGCCAAGATGGTTCAGATTAACTTGCATCACTTACAGGCTCCCAAAGCAGTGCATACATAATTCAACGTTGGGACTGTCCTTGGAAAGTAAAAAGTCCTATAGAGATCGAAAGTTCAGAGAACAACCTCTGAACAGCCATAAAAAAAGCTTCTGAGTGAGTTGTCCACTGAAAAGACAGAGAACCTCACAGGAAGTGCCATGGTGACATATGGGACTCACTCCCATATTGTTGTAGTTCACCCACAGTGTACAATAAAGCCATAAGGACAGCACGAAGGGGCATTAAAATGAAGCCCGAAGCAGCAAGACTCAAAAAAACCCTTTCAAAGGAGGATAGGACACCTTTGGAAAAGTAATGAAAGTCAAACAAAAACTGAGAAAAACACGCCCCTCGATCTATAACCTTAAAACCTAATAGAAACAGGGACAAATCAAACTTGCTTATTCTACTAAGCCAAGCAGAGGGAACTGGGAACTAGCAACTTCAATCACGAGATAAATCAGGTAAAAATTAAATAGGTGATAAAAAAATTTCCCCCACTTAAAACTATGCACAGTTTTCACTGTTTTCAGGGCTAGTACTGTTCCTGGCGTATGTGCCCCTAGCACGGAGAGACGTAAAAGTGGTACTCATACCAAAGCCACCACATGGTACGTAGGACCAGGCAAAGTCGTTTAGCGAATGCTAATCTGCGATTAATAGGGAACATGAGCCGCTGGAAAATGCGAGAGGTGCCTTCCCTCTCGAATGTACAAGGCGGTAAATGCGCAAAGGCGGTAGATGGGATAAATGCTCCTTCCCCTCTCGAGTGTACAAGGCGGTCGTCGATCCTTCCCAGATGAAAAATGAACACTCTCTATGACGTTCTTTTCTTGGGTATTCAAGTTACGACTGTGTACACTTCCAAAAATGGTTTTATTAAAGTATATTCACATGGAAGTGTTGCCGAGAGTGTCGCTTATTTTATGTTTAAGTCGAAGTAAACCTGAAATTGTATTGGGTAAAAAGTCAAAATAACCTCTTACAAAATTCACCTCTGACTCTTCAGAATTCTCAGTTTTAACAAATTAAAAATAATAAACTATTACGAATGAGGAAATATGAAGTAACATTGCAACAAAATTAATTGAACTTTGAATTGTGGAAAATGTTGGGCTTTTTCAGCAATTTTTTGTTGTTGAAAACGCTTAACCAAAGTACACTCTAACAATTTTTACTAATTTCATGATCGTAATTCAAGGTCCGAATAAAGTCATATACTTACCCTCAGTTGAAATATTAAAGTGCAAGTTTGAAATAATAAATGAATGACTTTTGATTGATGATAGGATATTTGAAAAAAAATTAAAAAGTTTGCTATATCTTCATGCCCACTGGACAATATCATGTAAAATGGGGGTGACAGTACGATACATAAATAGTGGCAAAGATTCGTGACCTACGAGCCATCCAGAATGGCGACCACACCAGGCTGCTGCATGTTGCTTTTCACCTCTTGTTCCAATTAGGCCGACCTTTAGTTATATTTTGAGTTACAGAAACTTAACAGCTCAGCGTATACACTATCCTCTTTGTTCTGTGATACGTTAATGCTAAACTTGATTGAGTGTTTTCACATTTGCACAATTTTCACGTCTCATAACCTTTCTTTCACTGCAATTTAAATCAAAAATTAACAGGGACGTTCAATAATTGTTCTGGTCAGATCGCCTGTGTTTGGCAGTTGTCATAAACGTGACTTTTTTGACAATCGACATCAAACGTTCATGCCACAAAGAGAGCCACAGCGAACTACCACCAGAATAATTATTGAACGGCCATGGCTCATTTAGTTGTACTCACATTGGTTAGGGTGGAATACTAAACGTAAATGAATAAAACGTTAATATAATAAACAAGCATTACCTTAATTCTATTAGAAAGCCTTAGAAAAACAGACTCCTTCTGTCCATGCGGCAAGACAGGAGGGCTCAGCGTGCTCGAGGCAACATTAGAGGACTCTTCATCGGATACTAAACTATCAAGGTGATCTTCTAGATGTTCAGAACTTTCCGTCGACGTCTCGATATCTTGCACAACCTCTGAGCTCACTTCGATATGTTCCATTTGGTGTTTTAGTGAATCATTTGGAGGTATGACGACTGTGTCGTTTTGAACAGGAGCTTGTGAAGACTCGGTCGTCTGCATCTCCTGCTCATTTGATGAACTGTCGACATTAACCGTCGCATCGATTGGAAACGATTCCACCTCAGATGTAAGGGTCCGTGTAGGATTAATCTGTGAGCTGTATTGGGTCTCGGTGGACGCTTTTTCTTGTATCACCGAAGTGTCAATTTTCACCACGGTGTCAGATGTACCAATTACTATCTCTTCAGTAAATGGTAACTGGACGAACTTGGTGTTGGTCACTTTGCTATCATTTGCTTGTGGCGTTATTACGGTAGTGGTGGCGTTCGTGCTTATATTCCGAACAACTTTGCACTCATTAATTGCCACTATGTTGCACATTGCGGCAACTATTTTAGGTGGAAATATCGAGGTTATGTACGACTTAAATAAATTTTGGACCTTACAACTGGGCTTATTACAAATCTCCAAACCAAAACTTGAACAAATATCAGTATGATATAAAACATGTTTCACTTTGGGTTGGGAAACTAACCTCACTAACGACTGTGAATTGCAACTGAGCAGTTCGAATACATTTCCGAACAGTAGATCACTACAGTTATTACAAACTACTATATGACTAGGCGTGGTACACGTACTAATTAATGGGGAATACTTAGCAACTGTCACATTTTTATCACTCGAAGATCCATTCCCTTTATTTCCAAGAACCTCGGCAGCTTTCTTGACTATAGATATTACAGCATCGGTAGCGGTACTAAACAGATTTGTAGGCGGATTACTGGTATCCATAATAATTGACTCATTGTCGTCATCATCGTCGTCGACCGCATTGGCATGCCCTTCGTTTTCGGTTTCGAGAACTTCAAACTCGGATGTGCCAAATACACGAAACAACGAAATTGGACAATAGTGCTCGGAACCGTAATGCGAGTGCATCTCGAATTTGATAAATTTTCCAAATAAATGCGGATGTAAATCAAAACTTTGTATATCTCGCTCGTCCTTCGCAACAAACTGACCAACACTCGACCATTCTCTGGTCGGAAAACGATCACTCACCGAAATACTGAACTCTTTCGGCGAAGAAGAGAATAATTCAAAATTGGCCAGTTCAATTTTAACCGCTTGAATTGCCTCGCACAGTTCGACTATAAACCAAATTCGATTCACGCACGCGTTTAATTTGTACTCGTCTCTGGAGGCCGAAAGCACCGATCCGGCACTATTCGCCTCGGGATTCGCCGCGATGATTTTCGCGCCGCAATCTGTCGACGCGTAATTCTTCCAACGTTTTCGATTACCGGCGTTAGCCTTTCCGTTCGTGTGTTGATTTTGAACGGACGAATTCGCCTCCTCTTTCTTTTTCTCGGCCTCCTCCAGTTGCTTTTGCGTCCATTCTGAGAACGATGGAATGTCTTCGGGAGTCTCATCCTTCTCCTTAGTTACGTTTATCTTTGGTTCGACAGTTGGCACTTCAGTTGCGAGTTTTTCAGTCTGTTGAGTATTATCACTAGCGTTAACGACCTCCCCTCCTTGTCCTATGTTTATATCTACAGAAACGTTTTCTTTACTAACAGTTTTGTTTTCCGCGCTAGCTAGGTTGGATGATTTATTGTTTTCGATAATTTTTTCCAAATGCGGAGTTTCATTGTGATGACTAGTATAATCGGCGGAGTTTTCTGCCTTTTCCTGTAGAGCGCTCGAATCTACCAAGGTTTGTATGATTCCAGGTTTGGGTCCAACAACCCTAGAACAAGACTGTATTTTAGCGTTTAGGAAATGCAATTCTAAACAATAAAAGCCAATGTTTTTCAAATTACACATTTTTTTTCAAATTACGCATTAAATGGCGATGTGGTAGTCAAATCATCGTGGCATATACACTGCGTCCAAGATAAGGATGTGTATCATGGGGATCGCGGAAAACATAAAAGATTCGAAGAGGGGTAAATTAAGTAAAAGTTGGGCAATCAAGAGTTACGAGAGGAGTTATTATCACGCATCACTTCGAAACATATTCCAGAAAAACCGAAATTTGCCGATTTTGTGACTTTATATTTTTATATCCCCGTAAAAAAAGCACATACCGTATTGAGTAGTATCATTGAATAAAAACACTATAAGAAGCCTAACCCCGTGGAAATAAAGCGCGACAGAGATTGAACTGAGAATATAATGGAAACACTGTCAATAGTGTCGATTCTTGAACTGAGAAGAATGAGAATTTGCTTTCCTCCTATTTACCGCAAAGAGAGTTCGGTGATCACAACCAATGCGGGTGCAAGGGGATTTGTCGCGCTTTCTTCCATAAGCGTTAGGCTTCTTATAGTGTTTTTATTCAATGGTAGTATTTTTTATTACGAATACAACGATGTACGGCACAAAAAAACAAAATTTGGCAACTCTGTTGGTTTCAACAGGATGGTGCACCGGCGCACAACATCCTAATCGTATCGGGCTAATTTCCTGGAGAATAGAAAATTTGTCCGATAGGTATTCTCGCGCATTCGGGTGTTATGCGCGGGTGCATAATCCACTTGTAACCAACAGTTGCAATTTTTGTTTTTTTTGTGCAGTAGATCGTTGTATTTGTAATAAAATGCTATTCCATACAGTGATGTACTGTTTTTATAGGCCATATAAAAAAATAAAGTGATGATGATTTCTACGAAACGAAATGTATTGAAAATCTCTCAATGGTGTCTTGTTTAGATAAAAAAGTGGCAATCAGCATCCCCACAGTTATTGTTTTATCTTGGAATGAAGATTTCTGTCTTTTTATCCGTTGTTACCGCCTCTCTACCGAAGTTGCTTGAATGTCCACCTTGCCAGACCGTTACCTGTTTAGCCATGAAACCTTCTGGCAACTACGAATTTGGGAGTACGTAAAGAAGTGGTAGAGGAGCTCAAAACAACCACTTTAAAAAAAACCGAGAGTCCGTGTTTCGTTTGGGAGCCACCCTCAAAAAAATGGTGACATTTGCATTCCTTCTTTAATTTTTTTCTCAGCAACCATAAGGCTGATGGCACGTCTTTGAATAGGTTGGGGGGGGGGGTGCCCTTTTCGATTTTACAAAAAAAATTCCAAAATTTCTACCACGAAAGGCCGAAAAAAAATCCGATTTCGACGAAATTTGGTGTCTAGGAGTTTTTGAACATGAAAATTACGAATCCCAGGTTAGTTTTTGAAAATTCGAAAAAAAAATTCCACTGCAATTCTTAACAGGACAACAAAAGTGGATAGAATTTTATGAAATTTGTTGTGTACATACTTGATGAGTTAAGGAACAAAATTGTTGAACAGTTTTTTAAAATAAAAGTTATGTTCATTTGAAAACTGGTCCTTCAGGCCAGAAAGTGTCCCCCGCCTCCTAGTGAGTCATCTAATTTCGAATGCAGTTAGTTGAAAATTTCTCAAATAACAAAAAAATTAACGATTTAAGTCGAGATGACTTGCTCTACTATGTTTCTACCTTTAGGAATGCAATCATCAGCTTGAATATTGAGTTTCAGTAGGTACATTTTACTTGAATGACATTGTGCAAAGACACAATCGAAGGGTTTGGATATCTTCCAGATAAATATTTGTCCGCATTGCTGTCTATTTAAACGTTCGACCACAATAAATTAGAACAAAAAAGGGTAGCAACGCTGATTTTTTTACGTTCTGTTTTTATGTATGTTCGTTGTTTACGATGGAGCGGAAACATCGACACATATCGCAGATGTAATTTAGATCTACGGATGTACCTATACATTTTTTTTGGCGATAATCTGAGCGTACATATTTGCCAATTAAGCAACACGTAAATTTGTTGATTTGATTAATACTCGGATTAATATTATGCTTGCTCCAATTGGCAAAAATCACATCTTTATATTCTAATGTAAATTTTCCGTTGGGTAGCTTTCTTCAACCCAAACCCCTTCATTTTTATAATAAATAGAATGGAATTGAATACATTGCGTTACTTTAATTGTCCTTGTAGTACTTTTTAATTAACGTAATTAAAATTACATTACGATTGCTTCCTTTAATCTTTGATCATTTCCTTTGACATGCTACCTGTAGGCCAGCCGTTCGACTGTTCACAAGATCTTTTTGATTACTTAGTGACTTAACTTGCTTTTATAATTGTACAAACGCATTTACTTATGTGGAAATGCTTCATAATTAGATAATTACCTAATCTGCACAAAACACTTATCCTCGTACTTATCTGTATCAAAATTAATTATCAAAAGTCCGGTATTAATTGATTACATACCTCTTAATTTACAATGTTATAAATACCTACTTTATATCAAAATTACAATGCATTATTGGGACTCAAATTTCATATTTCACTCTTGCACCTCTACTTATATATTATTCATTCATTTTCCTATTCTACGCAAAAATTCTATACTGGCTGATTCAAATTCGAGCATTTGCAATTTGGCAAAGTTGCGTATTTTGTTGCTTAACAAAATGCAGTTTTGAAACTGAAAAAATTCCGACTAGTTTTGGAAATATCCGGAAAAAAACGAAATTTTGCATAATCGTTTGTATTTTGTACTGAAGTTTATTAAAAAGATATTTCAAAATAAACGACACATTATTATGGCCACATTTTTCCCTCTACAAGATGCTAGTTTTAAATTTTAAATCCGACGTTTCGTCTTCGGTTAACCATCATCAACTTTGTTTTTGCTTATGGAAGTAATTTTCACTGTTTGTGTCAGTTAATAGAGAATGTTTTTCTGATTTCAAAAATGTAAACATCGCAATTTTTTAATATTGTTAAAATTTCTTTTTTGCCTAGAAAACGTCTTGGGCGAGCGTCTTGGGTAGTGTACGTACCTACGTAGTTTCTTGCGTTTTTACGAATTAATAGAGCTATTTCTTATTAAAAGATAGTGATGTTTACATTTTTGAAATCATAAGAAAATCCTATAGCAAAAAAAAACAATAGAAAATCCAATGTATTAGGTGCAGCAAATAATTCAAAATGTTAACTGAAATCTACCAAATTTTAATACATCTTCTGGAACTGTACAAAATTCTCTTTCTAACGATATATCACGTCATAGGTATTTAACCAATTAAAAAAATTAATCGATAATTAAGTAACAAATAGATCGTTTTAATTGGGAAGGTAAGCATGAAAAGAATTGCTACAGCTTTATTGTCAAATTCATTGAGTAATAGTATATTAAGTATGGAGAACGGTAAGGGATTTTTACCCTTAACCCTTAACGTTCGACGTGCTTATAACATTTTTTGCGCGATCGAAATTAAAATTATGCAACCAATATAAATATGCACTAAGAAATTAACGAGCAGAATAAATCGAAATGATCGAAGTGGTATGGTGTACATCACTAGGCAACCAGTTTAAATGTCAAAATTGAAATTAATAATTTCATAAAAATGTGCATGTGTCTGATGTAGTTTACTAGCTTTGCACTTCCTTTATGACTTTATGAGCGTCTTGCTATAGGAAAAACAGCACAAATTGTACGTTTAATTTACCTAACAATAATTAAAGATTAAATGTAATGTAAGACTGTTGATTTTTAAAAAGGCGTCGGTAAGTATTTTTGCTGTTCTGTTTTTAGATCGGTAAGTAATTTTGGCGTCGTCGTAATCATAGTAACTGGTAAATTCTACGTACTGTCATGGAAACACCCATCGTAAATAGTCAGAAATGACCGATCGCGCAAAAATGTATACGTATTGTTATTTTCAGCTTAATTATCACGAAATGGGTGATATTTATTCCGAGAATTATTCTAATGATGAAAAAATGAATATGCTAATGATGTACATCATTTGTTCATGTTTTGTTGTATTTATATTCCGCGATGGCGTATGTTGTCAAGATAGTAGGTATTAAGGAACATTGTTCAACTGCTTCTCTACTTTTTCTAATAAAGCTCTAATCCTCGCTCTAATCTACATAAGTGTGCATTTGTAGTTTAATTACCGATTTACTTTTTTAATTGATTAAATAGCTATTATTTTATTTTATTTTGCCTTTATTTTTGATTGGGCGGGGTTTCAGCCCACCCAACCCAACCTACTATACATTTACAAAAATCCATGCCCGAACCCGGATTCGAACCAAGGACCCTTAGCACCACAGTCCAGCTTTAACTGAACTGCGCCACACGACTGACATGTGGTATATCGTCGGAAACAGAATTTTGTACAGTTTCAGAATATGCAATAAAATTTGGTAGATTTCATTAAAGAATTTTCCATTATTTGCTGCACCTAATGCATTTGACCTTTCAATTGATTTTTGACAATAACAAATAATGCAAAATTAAATGTATAATTTATCTTTTGCAACATTTTGTCATATCTCTAAGGCGGAATTCACACCAAAGCAATGGGCAACAGGCAATACGCGATACGCTACACGCGATATACAATATTGTATCGTGCGTTTGTTCTCATCGAAGCAATATATTCATTCGATATACAAGTGCAAAAGCACTACGAAATTATTTATCTGAATATTCCTCACTCCTCAAGCAGCAATTCCATGGCAGTGTAGAGCATGAATATAATTTCGAGTAGGCCAAGATACTGTGAAATGCCGTGTATTTGCCAAAATACCACAAAATAAAATAAAAAATTAAAATCAAAACGGTGGTTTTTGTACTTTTGTACTCACCTGCTATTCCTTGGAAACTGCACACCAAGCTTTCTCCGTTGCAGTACGTTTAGAATAATCGTCCCTGGTGAAATTGTATAAG